TGGGATGATGATGCATGTGGTGGCAAGTGAGAAAGTTTTTCTCGTTTTGGCGTCCATTCGTTTAATGTCAGCTATGGTCCAGTTAAGGATGTTGAAACTGTATTGCACCACAGGGACAGCCAAGGTGTTTTTATGGCTGATATTCTTTTTTTTTTTTTTTGAATTCAGCTCGGTATTCAGTACCAGACACACACGCCTGTAGTATTTTTTTTTTTTTTTTTCCTTCATTTGGGTATGCTGTATTCCATCTCCTTCGCTAATTCCTAGGTACTTATAGGCTTCTTCTTGTTCCAGTTCCTAATCTTTTTGTGACAAAATCTAAATCTATTGAGTGTGTTTCTGTAATTCTCCTTTCTTGAATGTTACTTTTGCACATTTATCTAATCTAAAATCCATACCTATGTCGTCACTGAAACATTTTACAGTATTGAGGAGACCCTTCAACTCATTGTCGTCTTTTGGCAAAGAGTTTGAGATCATCCATGTAGAGTAGGTGATTGAATTTTTTCTTGTTTTTTTTTGTATCCATAGCTATTATTGTTTAGTTCATGCGTAAGGGGGATTAAGGACAAACAAAATAGAAGGGGTGACAGAGAGTCTCCTTGAAAGAGTCCTCATTGAATATTCAGGCGGTTGGAGATGGCAGTGCCTTTGGTCTGATTTAGGTATAGCATGGTGTCCCACATTCCCATGCTGTGTTTAAGGAAATTTACTATCACAGAGGAAACTTTGTACATTTCCAAAGTTTTAAGTATCCAAGGGTGTGACACACTATCAAAAACTTTAAGGTAATCTATCCATGCTATGCTAATATTTGTATATCATCTCTTGCAATTTTTCAGGATAATTTTATTTATCAGTAGTTGAACTTTGCAATCATATGAACCTCTCCCGCATCACTTTTGTTCCAGTGGAAGAATGCTGTTTGCTTCAAGAAAAGAATAAGTATGCTTCATCAGGACACATGTGATAAATTTATACATGGTTGACAGACATGTTAATGGCCTATAATTTTTTGGATCATCTGTTTCACTTGTTTTTGGCATGAGATATGTAATACCTTCAGTGATCCATTCTGGGATTTTTGAGGATTATTAATAAGCATTGATAGAGTTTTTGCATTTTTTTTTTTTGATTGGATTGATGACAGATGATAGAGCCAAAAATTGGGTACCTTGTCATTTCCTGGGGATTTCCATTTTGGGGATTTCGTTAGAGCTTGCCTAACATTATTTTCGTTGGTTATATTTTCCCATTCTTGTAGAGGTTTATCCATTCATTTTTCTTCTTTCGTTGGATCCATTCTGCATTTGGGGTTATAGTCTTTTGGGCTGCTCCAAATATTCTCCCAAAATTTTGCACTTTTTTTCAATAGATGGTTTTTTTTGACATTTATAATTTATTTTTCCAATTTCCTGTAAAATTTTTCTTAAGGTCCGTTTGGAAATATTTTTTTTTTGGCGATAGAACCTTTTTTTTTTTTCGTATCGTCTTGTTCTCTGTGCCTTTAACTGCAGTTTTTGTTTTAGCATTTCCTTGATTGATGGAATTTCATTTAGTGATTTAATTTTTATATTTCTTTTCTTGATCTTTTTGCATTTTTGTGTTGAGACATTTGGGTTTCTAGTGATCTCATCTAATATCGAAATCTCACATTCATTTGATTTCCTTATTTCTCGCATCAATTTTTTGCCTTCCAAGCTGGTTCTTTTTTTTGTTGTTTGATTTTTTCATTGTCTTGACCCCCAAGCTTCCCAGTAGCTGCTAAAGCTGTTGCGTATATGACATTATTTAACTTCTGTGATGTTTCCCAGTGGTTTGTCCGTTAACAGTTTTTTCCAGTGCAGTTGTTGTATATTTTGCACAAATGTGTTTATTGGACTTTTGTCATATGAATTTTTGGGAGCTGGTCTCTGTCTGACATTTGCATGAGAGTTACTCTGCTGAGTACTTGGATGACGTGGTTTTTCACTTTTGTGGTTTTCCCTCTGCGGTTTTCAAGAAATTCTACCTTAATTTAGTTGGAATCATCTTCAATGATATTGTCTGGATAACTTCAGGTTATGTAACAGGTAGAGTCTTCAGTTTCATTTCCTGGGCGATTATTATTTTATATCTAATTTATTTTAGTTTTTACCTCATCCCCTGTCATATTATTTATTTCTACTCTCATCTTTTTACTGTTTAAGTGTTGGGTTATTGTATTCTGCCTTATATCTAATTTTATCTTATCTATTTCTGCATTTGAGAGTCTTTTCTTTTGCATGATGTCTCTGCAGACATTGGCAAGTATGTTTGGGTTGAGATGAGGTCTTATTTCACTTCCTACCATAGTTCTCCATATTTTCTATGTCTGATTTGTGGTGTTCATTTCTGGATTTTTGAGTGCAGTGAAGAATGATGTCATGTTTTGTTGATACACCTCACAAGACTATTTCATTTGTTTTCTTTTTATTTAGCATTGGGCACTTTTCCAAGGTTGGAAATAGTCTGGGTTTGGTGACAAAGTGTCTCTTAATTTTTGGAAGAGTTTGTTCCAGTCACAGATTTTTCCAACCCAGACTGGTTCCTCTCTGAAGTATATAGCCCTTGTTGATGCAGATGACAGCCAATCTGATATGAAAATTTGTTTGTAATCATTGAGATTCATAAAATTTTGCATTTTATCCTTGACCACCAAGGAGTAATTTTGTTCAAGTTACCAGCTCTAGGATGACTTTCGAACAAAACCAAAGAGCTCATCCAACCTATGATAGTACAAATGAAGATTATATTCATATATCCATGGTTAAAGACTTCATAATTGAGTATTGTATTCAGTGGGGTAGCATATGCATATAGATATGGCACTGACTATATAGTTTTAACAGTATAAGTTGCAGTGATCACTACCAGGTGAAATATCAGAGGTGAACATTAATATTAAGAGTTATTAAAAAAGAAGAGAGAGGGGAAGAAAAAAGAAAAAAAAATTAAAATGAAAGAAATAAAGTTAAATAAAGTCAAAGAGACTTAAAATGAAATTAAAGAAAAGAAAAATTGTAATTTAAAATGGTATAAACTTTATGATTCCTTACATGTTGAGAGGCAGGCACAGAAAATCATTCAAAAATGTTCAACTTTCTGACACCAATGAGAATGACAGTTATCAAGTTTTATAAAGTAGATCACTCCCCCACTACAGTTTGGCAGAAAAGTAGTGTGAAAGTGATTGAAGCCAAGATTCCAGGTCAGGACTAATAACACTGCAGATTCTTCTTTGGATTTTATCAAAAATTTCTAACTATGTAGATAGTATCAGACTAGATGTGGTGATAATATTCAAAGCATGGATGAAGGGTAGACTTATAAATGTGCTAAATGAATTCTCATAAGAAAAATTGTCTAGTACAACATAGTGAACCAACTTTTCTATTAATACTTTCATGGTAATTGTTCTGATGAGCTTTCATTTTTGGTAACTCAGCATCACAAATTTAAGTACAGTACTAGATTAGCAGCTAGGTCTCATCATTTTCTTGTTGAAATTGCTTGGTGTAACCATAAATTCTATGCTAACAGTTTCTTCTCTTGCACTTCTTGCCTGTGTAATTCTCTTCTGGCTTTTTGCTTTCCAATCAACAAAAATCTTCAAAAATTTAAATCCAACATCAGTCATGATCTTCTATCTCCTTGAATCCTTTTCTTTTATTGACTTATCTCTCTTCAACATTTCCTCAGTTTCTTTTATTCTGTAACCCTTTGTAGCTTTATTGCCTTGATTGGGGTGAAATGATTTTTAAAAAATTATAAATAAATTGTTTACCTCATTAAATTTTTCAGATTTTTTTCTCAGATTTTTTACAAGTAACCAGAAATGGATTTTGAATAATTGCTATGTTGTATTTATAAATGATACAATATATTTGTTAATATTCAATTAAAGAAAATAATTCTTTCTTTTTCTTTTCAGCTTTTTTAACAGTGTATTTTTTAACTAGATGCAGATAATAGTTAATTTGGATATTTTCACCCTTGCACGTAACTCAGATAAGTTTTTCTGTCATTGAAATGTATCTTTCAACTCCAATAGTGTGGTTTTAGTTCATGTATGGTGAATTAACATTGCAAATTGTTATTTCTTCACAAAAGTGTTCATATAAGAAGTTCAACATAATAGCCCAGTCAGTGTATGTTGCAACTACTTTGTTTATATAATCAAAACTGTATAAATATTACTTTAATATATAATATAAACCTTGCAATTAGGTTATACAGTTTAATACAGTAACCATATATTACAAATAATGTACTTTATTACATTTTTTGATTTAATCAACACTATAAAGTGTATAAATTATATACATATATGTTAAAATTCAAATTTGCATTCTTTTTATTGAAGAATTTATAGAATTGAACCAAATGTACAACCAAGAATTGAAAATCACAGGATATGACATTCTAAAAAGGATGATACAGATGACATGGGTCAAAAAGAGAGAGAAAAAAACAACCAAAAGGTTATCTGCTATAGACAATGCTGATCAGTACATTTCCCAGACTGTTATGTTTGTTTCCCACATAGTTTGTTAAAAATAAAAATGCCACAATGGACAGTTATCATTAGTTCAAAAATAGTTAATTCTAACTGACAAGATCAGTAGTTTTATTATGTAAATTTGTTTGATTTTTCATGTCTTTATCAATACTTTCATCCTCCTACCTTTATTGGCACGTGTCAATGTGTTTAGGTGTGGTTTTTCCCTTTGACTTTTTTCTACAATCCTTCTTTTTATCATATTTTTTCTTTGTTTCATCTTGACAGCAAATTGTCATATCTGACAATTTTTCATTTAAATTATCAATGAACAACTCCTTATCAGTAACAAAGATGTCTTAAAAAATGCTTATTGATAAGAGAGAGGTTGGGTGTTTGGACAGTTTGTAATAATTTTCTAACAGATAAAATTTTAGTAACATCATTGTTTAGCAATATGTGAGTAGTGATTTTCATGCAGCAAAATTAAACACTTTCTTTCTTTCCTTTTTCTTTCTTTCTTCCTTCCTTCCTTCATTCCTTCTTTTTCATTCCTTCTTTCATTTGTTCTTTCATTCCTCCCTCCCTTAATTCATTCATTCCTCACTTCTTTCCTTTCTTCCTTCTTTCTTCATTTATTTCTTCCTTCTTTCCTTCCTTTCTTCATTCATTCATTCATTCATTCATTACTTCATTTCTTCCTTTCTTCCTACTTCATGTTCTCATGATGCAACTGTCAAAAATAGGAAATCTCTATTTCTGTGTCAGGTACTAATTTACATTTTGCTGATCAGTACATTTACTTTATTCCTTTTTTTACATCTTTCATTCACATAATTTAATCTTTTGCTTCCCATCCACACACACACACACGTGCACACACACACACACACATATATAAAGTTCATACATATCTATGAATGAAGAAAAATATATGGAAAAACAAAAATCCGAATATGCAAATATGCTGTTTTAATGTTATTTCAATGTTGACATCAGAATTTGGTCTAGTAGACCTTCATCAGGACATAGTTATTAAAGGTCTACTAGACCGAAACGTTGACATTGAAATAACATTTAAACAGCATATTTGCATATTCTTATTTTTGTTTTTCCATATATTTTTCTTCATACTGTCGGATCTATATCCATATATTTGCTTACATATCTATGAATATATATTTATGAGCAAATACTTCCACACACATAATTATCTTGTTTAAGATTTGTTATATGTTAAAGGAAAGGGTGCTCAGTATTGGGGATAAAGTATTTTATATATATATCCAATGTGGATATAAAAATCAACACTGTATAGAAATTGTCTGTTTCACATCTTAAGTGATCATCATATGGTCACTTAAGATAGTGAATCTAAGGGTTTGAGAGAGTTAAGGAAAATTTATTTACTTTTTCTTGATTTTTATTTACAGAATTTTGTTTATTGAATTCAAATCCCCTAGCATTCTATTGAACTTTTGATTACAGAAATATGGTTTTCTGTTTATTTATTTAATAATTCATTAGGAATTAAAACAAATTACTGTCTATGTATTCAAGTTTAAAAATCCATCAATATTTTCTATTGTTACTAAATTTATAACCCTTCTTTATAAAAATAATCCATGTAAATGTATATGGAATAAAATGAAAAAGAATGATTATTTTCAATAATATCTGCATATTATTTGGAATGAACTTTTTGAGTTGGAAAATCTTGAAAATGGCAGGAGTGACATTCTGACATATAGTGAAAAGGGTGCATTTGGCAAAAAAAGGATGAAAACCACTGACTTAAGATGTAGAGCCTCCAATGACCATTAGTTGAACTTATGCACAGTAAATAGAAATGTTAAATTTGCTATTTCATCAAAAAGACTATAATGAAAAAGATAGCTCAAAGTTTAATGCAAACAACTTTCAAAGCAAATAAAAATGGAAAATATAATTATTAGATAGAAAAGAAAAAAGTAAGGAAAGAAGAAAAAAAGAAAATTAAGAAAGATGAAAGGAAGGAAAAAAATGAAAGAAAATTTAAAGAAATTGAAAATTAATAAAATAAACAAAGACAGTGTCATAAAAGAATACTAGAAAGAAAGAAAGAAAGAAAGAAAGAAAGAAAGAAAGAAAATGAAAATGGTGACATTAGAAATATATGTGAATAAAGAAAAAATAAAGAAAGAATGAAAATAGTAACATTAAAGTATATATGTGAATAAAGAAAGAATGAAAGATGAAAGAATGAAAATGGTGATATTAAGTATATACGTTAAGAAAGAAAGAAATAAAGATAAAAGGACAAAGATGAAAGAAAAAAATTTGAAATATTAAGTGAACAAAGAAAGTAAGCAAGAAAGAAAAATAGAAAGTAAGATTGAATGAATGGTAACATTAAATATATATATGAATAAAGAAAAAATAGTTGATAATGACGTCAGAAGGAAAGGAAACAGTGAAAGAAATTTAACCTAAGAATTTTGTTATGATAAAACCCAAGGCCATCTCTGTAAACTTTAATTTACTTTTACATGTCTCTTTAAATAAAAATGCAACATTTTTAATCAAAAAATACAAAAAAAAAATTTTTTTAAATCCATGTGTGGTCTTTAAAAGAAATGGCTGATTTGTGATATTTACAATCTCAAAAATGCTGATACTCCTAAAATCCAATTGAAGGACACTTACAAAGAATGGACTGTTGTTTTGGAACATTAATCCCTGACACTTCTCTTCAGCTTTTTCTCTTTTTCAACTCTCTCTCTCTCTCTCTCTCTTCCATTTGCTTCTTTCTCACTGTGTCCATCTATCTCTTACTTTCTATTTCTCTCTTGCATGTGTTTATTTCCCTTCCTTTCTCATTCTCTCTTGCACTTGCCACTTTCTTCACCCCCCTTTCACTTTCTCTCACATTTGTCTCTATCTGTGTTCATCTTTCTCACTCTCTTACCTCTTTCTTTTTCTCTCTTGCACTTGTCTCTTTCTGTCTGTCAGTCCTTCTCTCTTGTATTTGTCTCTATTTCTCACTCTCTCTCTCTCTCTCTTTTGCCTCTTTGTCCCTCTCTCTTGCATTTGTCTGTTTCTCTCTTTGTCTTTTGTTTTTTATAATCTTTTTCCAACATCTCCCTGCTGTATCTGATGACCTACCAAGTCAGTTGGAGAGGTCAGTGTAGAAATGATCTCAACAAATGCACTTGCTTGAAGTTATCTGTAAATAACAGCCAGTTACAAAGTTAAAGACTTTTCAGGTCACTATTTAGACAGTTTTCTTTTAACCAATCAAACATTCCTATTACCATTTTTTTTCTAAAGGATACTTTTCTTAAAGTTTTCGTTTCTGTTCCATTATTATTTAACTTGACATTTCTCTCTTTCTTTTCTCTCTCTGCCTTTCTCTCTCCTTCTTTATCTCTCTTTTACTCACTCCCTTTCCCCTATACAATGTTTACCCTCACTTAGAAGCATATTGTTAATTGAATTCTCTCTTCTCCCTTTCTTGATTTTATTTCTCTTACATTTTTGTTTCTCTTTCAAAACATATATCTCTTTCTTAGATCTTTATGGCACATAAAGATACATTCTTTTTCTCTATCAACTCTTTCACATTGTCTTTTCTTTTTTGAGTAATTCATCCTTTCAGCTAAAAGTAAAATTTAATCTGAATTGCAATATTGTTTCAAGAATGGTAATGATAATGTAGAAGAGTTATAACTCTGAGTAAATAATTATAAATCCCCTAACATTTATATATATATACAAAAATACTCATAGAAATGAGAAACAGTGGTATTGTATTCATAGGAGAGAGTAATAATGCATAAAATTGTGAGTTTGGAGTCAAATATAGATCAAATATGGATATCGGAATCTGACAGAATGATAAGATAAAGAATAAGTAAAGTGTATACAGTCTTTCTCATATGTTTATTTTATAGATGTGTCCAGATAATTTAGCTAAAAAAATACAAAATGTGTCTGGGATTTTCTTACCTTAAATTTTTGTTGAGTATTAAGAGATAAATGTTACCATTATGGCCTGAAAAAGGAAAAGGAGCTGAAATTTTCATTTATGTTGACAGCCTGTTCCAATAATGAGAATGACATGTGTTTGTGGGTGTAGAGGAGAAAAGTAGGGCTAATTCTCATTAGTTTAGAAAGTGTGAATTAATGATAATTATAATTGTTATAATTATTTTATTAGAATTAATACAAATATAAAGTTTTTCACTTAGCTTATTTGCATTACTTTCAGCATCCAACTCCAAAGTTTTATAGATGGACCCTCCAGCAAATCACTCTGTTCATTAATTTTTGATACTATAATTTTTATTTATTTATGTATTTTATAGATATGACAAATATTCCTTCCAGATCATTAAAAAATTTACTTTTAGTTATATATAAAAATAATGCTTTAATATCTAAAGTATGTTTTGTAATGTTGTGGCCAATATACATTTCTTCCAAGCTTTGTTGTAATATTCTTCTTTGTTGTTGGCTCTGATGGAGTGTTATTTGCTTTACTGGATGTTTGTTCTGTAGCGGGCGGTCCAGTGGCCCCGTTTCACAGAAAGGGGTGAACGAGGTCACAAGAGGTCCGCTAACATTTTTGAAGACGTTAAATCTGACGGTGAAACAATATGGACGACAGAACGAGGATATGTATGATATATAGAGGTTTATTCTAAAAGGAAATGAAGATGGTCAGAAACGGTGGAGGTGCTGGAAGCTGCAGGAGTGAGCTGGAAGCTGCAGAAGTTGCAGGAGTGCTGGTAGCTGCAGGAGTGAGCTGGAAACAGCAGGAGTGCTGGAAGCTGCAGGAGTGAGCTGGAAGCTGCAGGAGTGCTGGAAGTTGCAGGAGTGAGGTGGATGCTGCAGGAGTGCTGGAAGCTGCAGGAGTGAGCTGGATGCTGCAGGCATTGATGGTCGAGGTTGGCGTTGGTAGTTGCTAGGATCATCGTTGTTGGGGGTTGAAGCTGATGTGGGTTGTTGCCAGGATGATCGCTTGGTGGTTGTTGAAGTTGATGTTGGTTGATGCCAGGATGATCGTTGTTGGTTGAAGCTGAGTCATTGCCGGGGTGCCGACTTGTTGCTGTAGTTCGTGTTGCCAACTCGTTGTTTGTCATTGCCAGGATGCCAACTTGTTGCTGTAGTTCGTGTTGCCAACTTGTTGTTTGTCATTGCCGGGATGCCAACTTGACATGTTGGGAAGGAGAGAGAGAGAGAGAAAGAAAGTTCCCAACTATCATCAAGTTGGCAGACAAAAAAAAATGGGAGCGTAACTTAATACACAGCCCGTTGATCGGCGCCCCTGGCCAATGAAGGCCAAGGGGCCTGCGTAGCCGACCGTTTCGGCCGCCGACCGCCTCCACGAATCTAGGGAGAAATCACTGTCTTGTGACGAGGGAGACCAGCAAGAGAAATTGGCTAAGCTAACCGAAAAGTCTCTATAATAAAATACTACAAGGTTAGTTAAAGAGAACTATTGTTTAAAAAATGACTAGTAGTATATTACAACTAGGTTTGTAATATAACCTAACTAAAAAGGGGATTTGCTAGTCCCTCCGACGTGTTAACGGTATGTAAGGAGCATGAATGAGAGGTCAAGGTCGAAATGACCTGTTCCTCTGCCGGTTCAAGGATAGAAGGAGGAGGTAACTCCGACAGTTCATCCATTTTTTGTGTAGGTTTTAAGTGTGAATGATCACACTTTACAGTTTGTTGTAAGAATTGCTTTTCAACATAAGCCGGTTTAATCCTATCAATAGCAATATTATCTTTTTCCATTTCTTTCAGTAGTGAAGAACTTGTACATTTTGCTGATGACTTGGTATGGGCCTCTGTAGTTTGAATTCAAATGTTTTTTTACACTGTCATTTCTTATAAATATATATTTGTGGGTGTAAAGATCACTTGGTAGGTACATTTTTTTATTGTTTTTCTTTATAGTTGTAAAGGGTAATGCTAACATTCTGTTTTTTAAGTCCTGTACAAATGTTGTGCATAAAATCTCTTACTTGTCTTCACAATATTGACCAGCTAAGGTTAATGATGTACCAAAAATCATATCAGCTAGTGCAAAGCCCAAGTCATTTTTACACTGCTCCTGATGGATAAAAGTACCAATGGTAAATTTCCTACCCAATCAGTATTGTTTGGTCTCATAGCCACTGCTACTTTTAGCTACCTGTCGAAACATTCCATCATTCCATTTCTGAAATATCTTTGATAGCTATTGTGACAGGCCAGTAGGTAAACCTATCTATGATAGTCAGGATATATGTGTATCCCCAAGAACAAGGTAAAGGTTCAACAATATATTAGTGAATCTTGTGTCAGGTGTGCTGAATGTGCTTGCAGGTGATTTATTTTGTGTTCTTGTGTACTTGTTTTTCTGGCATGCTAAAAAAGTTTTTGTCCAAAAATGTTCAGTAATCAGCACATTGCACATTTGCTTGGATTAGACAATTCACAGAAGTGTTGAAATATTTGTTGTCTCAACTTTGGGGGTATGTAGGGATGTGGTTGTGTTTGTGAAATGTCACAATAAAATTTGATATCACTGAATGAGACTGGTAACTCAGCTAACCCTGCATTTGACTTCTTCTTTGGAGTCATCTATAGTTTGCTTTTTTGCAATTAATTCATAGTTCAAAGAACTAGAATCTAAAGATGCAATTGTGGTGCATGATAGTGTGTCAACCTCTTTGTTTTCTTGATCTGACACATATCTGATGTCTGGAAAAAATTGAGAAATATAATCCAGATGTCTAATTTTATCAGTGTGTGTATGCAATGCATAGATCAATGATTTGTGGTCTGCATATATAATGAAATCTCTAATTTCAAGGAGGTGCTGAAAATTCTTAATTGAAAGGTAGATTGCTAACAATTCCCTAGAGAAAGTGTTGTACTTAGTTTGTTCCTTGCTTAGTTTAGCAGAAAAGAAAGATATGGGTGTGATTCATTCTTCTGATACTTGGTGCATAACTGCACCTCCTGCAGTTGATGAAGCATCCATTATAAGGTTAAGTTTAATTTTATCATCATTCTTGATGTAATTAAACCTTGTGAAGTTGGTTAATGATGTTTTATCATTGCTGAATGCTTCCAGTGTCTTGCCTTGCAATGTAAAATTTTTGTACTTGTTTTCAATTAAATTTGTCAAGGGCAAAAGTACAGTAGAGCAATTTGGTATAAATCACCTGTAATAATTTATAAGGCCTATAACTTTGCAACTGCCATAGTAAAATTGCTTGTGAAAAATTTTGAATTTTTTATCTAGCAAAAGTGAAATACCTTCTTGGAGGATTTCATGGTCAAGGAAATTCAGTTTGGGTTTTTCCAAAAATACATTTCTGTGCATTAATTTTAGTCCAAAGTGTGCAAGTCTCTGAAAGGTTTCTTTTAAATGTATTTTGTGATCTTCCATATCTCTTCTGGGGATTAAAATATCATCAATGTAGGAGTAAACAAAATGTAAATTTTTGAGTACTTCATCTATAAGACATTGAAATGTTTGAGCTGCATTTCACAATGTAAAAGTCAGTTGTACAAACCTATATAACCCAAATGGTGTAGTAATAGTGGTTTTGTGGATATTCTCTTCAGCCACTGGTACTTAATAAGCCTTTACAAGATCTAGTTTTGTGAAAATGCAGGATAGTTTGAGACCAATGGCAAAATCATGTATATAAGGAATGGGGTATCTATTTGGTGTTCTGGTAGCATTCAATCTACAGAAATCACTACAAGGATGTCATGCTATTGTGTTTGGTTTAGGGACCATATGCAATAGAGATGACTATGTATACTTTGATGGGTGTATAATTCCCATTTGCATTTGTTGAAAACTGCCTTGGCAATCTTGTACTAGTCGGGTTTCAATTGTTTTGGTATGAAATGTACTGGTGGTCCAGTTGTTTCAATGTGGTGTTTAGCATGGTGTTTGATACTGTCCATGTGCTAAATGTGTTATTTCTGTATATTTTTGTAGCATTTCTTTGATGCTTTTATCTTATGTAGGCTAGCACTAATTCCAGCTGACTGGTATCAAGAGCCAATTCATCTCACTGAAAGTTCAGTCAAGTAGTTAACAAGAGATTGATTAGCCATGTTGACTGATAAGTTACAATTAGCTAAGAAGTCTACACCTAGCATGGGTGTTGTAATATTTGGTTGGGTGAACACTCATAAATAATCTCGTCTCACCCAGGTTGATGGTCACAGCTTTTTCACCAATGGTATCAATTTTAGTAGTTTGTAAGCTCCTGGGTTTAATTTTTATTTTGGGTCTGGTGGTAAAACACTTATTTCTGCTTTGGTATCTATTAAAAAATTATATCTGTGATTCCTATCCCAAATATAGAACAGCTTTCCTTTCTGTAAAAGTCCAGCAACAGTTGTTGCCACTACTGACTGGAATTGAAGTTTCTCTGTGTATTATTTTCTTTAAAAGCATAAGGTTTTAAGCATTGTTTTGTTTCTGTACTAAATTTATAGTGGTAGTAACATACATCATATTTGTGTGTGTGTGTGTGTGTCTCTCTCTCTCTCTCTCTCTCTCTCTCTCTCTCTCTCTCTCTCTCTCTCTCTCTCTCTCTCTCTCTCTCTCTCTCTCTCTCTCTCTCTCTCTCTCTCTCTCTCTCTCTCTCTCTCTCTCTCTCTCTCTCTCTCTCTCTCAAAACTTCTACTGAAGCTCCTCTGTTTGAAATTAGGTTTATTTGGTGTGCAGTGCTCTGTTGCTGTATACTCAAAAGGGACTGTATTTGTTGAGCTAAACTTACAACTGTGGCTTGTAATTTTTCACAATGTTCATTAGTAGGTTGTGTATGTCATTTATATCTCTGCTTTTAGATCTACATGAATGTGGTCCATGGACTCTGACAGTTTGTCAACCCGTGTCTTCCATCATCAGCACTAATATTTGTGTCATTGTATTAGGTAGTTTGTCTAGCCATAACCCACATAGAATATTTTCTGCTATGATGTTAGATCCTAAAAGCCCCTTCATATATCTAAGTAATTGGGAAGGAGTTTGGTCACCTACTTCCACATTGTTAAACATATCTTGCAGCATAGTTTCATTGGACTTGCTGGTTCATGTAATTATGATGGTTTTCAACATGTTGTGAGGGTTTTCCTTTGGCTTGGTTTCTAGTAAGTCCATAACCTCTTCGATTGCTTCTGTTAGCAGTTTCTCTACAATGCAGCAGTAATGTGCTCTTTGTGAAACAATCTTTTTGCTGTTGAAAATTGCCTGTATTTGTATAAACCATGACTTTATGTTGTTTGGGTTATAACCTGGTAAATTTAAAGCTGTTAGTGATGCTTTAATGGGATTTGCATTGTGTTCTGTTTTAGTGTTGTTAATTTTTTTTTAAATATGTTAAAAATTTGTTTCACATAGTATGAATATGTTGTGTTATTTGTAGAGGGTGAAAGAAAGGGCTAAGGAGATTGAATGATATCCGAGGGTGGGATTAATAGTAAAACACCTGTGGGATTTCAATGGGCTGGGATTGGTATGCCAGTCAGGGGCTGTGATGCAAAAAGAGGGTGTAGGGAGGTAAGTATAAATAGCTATCTTTGCTTTTAGCTGTAAATAATTATAAACCCCCTAAAATTTATACAGGGATAAATTGTCATCAAACTTACACAAAAATGAAAATAACACTGATATCTCATTTCAACAGATATATTTATCAAAATTGCACAAAAATATCTTGAAATACTAAAGAGTAAATTTATTCAATAAAATCACCATTGGCTTCAACTATGGCCTCAATATGACTTCAGAATCTCCTGCCCCTCTTCTGGGCGGTCTCCTTGTTTAAGTTGGTGAATGCTGCCATAATCCTTGCCTTGAGTTCATCTTTAATGTTATAAGTTTTGTTGGTCTCTCGCTCAACTGTGCCCCACACATTATAATAAAGGGGTTGCTGTCTGGGGAGTTAGGTAGACAAATGTAAGGGGAGATATTAAGATATAGTCTGACAGCCATGACTGGTTTCTCCTGCTTGGTTCAGAGTCCTTTTGCCAGACATAGGGTCCTCTGGTAGCCACCCTCTTGACCTAGGGCAGCACTACCTTAAGGCACTCAATGTGGGCCTCCATGTTGAGTCTGTGGCCCTCACCAACAAATCTGGGAATTCTTTTCTTATCAGAATGATCAGAGTAAGTTTTCTGAGATGCCATACATTTGTAATCACCATTAGACTCATCCAACTGTTTCCAAATCCTCTGCACTGTCCTCAGATTGAAACACTCTGAAATGTTCATATTGGAGCTTTCGGCGTGAATGCCAAGCAGTACAACATACCATTTCTAAATTTCTGGCGGAGTGAATTGCGTCATGGTGCTCTTTTTCTCAAGGAAGTCACTAATTGACCCTCCTCTACTCTGCAGTTAACAAAATCAAAGACATACAACACATATGCACAAAATTAAAAATACAAAATGGTGACAATTTACCCAGCACACCCTGTAGATACAAAAATACTTGTTAAAATGAGAAACAGCAAGATGTGGAACCAACAAAATGAGTATTATTTATTACTTGGTTGTTATGTGGTATTGGAGACATGAGAGACAGTAATATTGTGTAAAATTGTGAGTTTGGGTCAAATATTGATCAGATATGGAAATTGGAATCTGATTGATTGATGAGATAAAGAATAAGTAAAGTCTATACAGTGTTTTTCATATGTTTATTTTATAGATGTGTGTAATGTGTGTCCAGTTAATTTAGTTGAAAAATACAAGAAGTGTCTGCAGTTTTTTTAACTCATATTTTAGTTGAGTATTAATAGATAAATGTTACCATTATGCCCTGTAAAAGGAAAAAGAGGTGAAATTTTCATTGGCACATGAGTTGACAGCCTGTACATATTGATTGCTTTTCCAATGGTGAAAAAATCATATTTTTGTGTATGTAGAGGAGAAAAGTATGGCCAATCTTCATTGGTTTAGAAAGCTGAATTAATGATAATTATAATTGTTATAATTATTTTATTATAATTATATTTGACACTATAATTAATTTTTATTTATGTATTTTTTATGGACATAACACTAATATTAGCTGTTTCACTACAAGGAAACATTTAACATTCATTGACCAAGCAGCCAGTACTATTTTTGACTGAAATTTATAAGTTCTTTCTCTTAAAACAATTTTTCAGGAAAAAAGGTTTCTTATGTCCAGTAGTTATTATCATTCTTTTCCTAACCTTTTATTTGAATTAGTGTAGAATGTCAGCCTCTTCATTATATCATTATTTTCTCTTCAATTTATATGTGCTATCCATTTTAGCTGTTGCTGCTGTTGAAAGTCTTCAAGTGATGTGGTTTCTGTTATTTAGTATGATTCTTTGTCTGTGATTCTATAGTGCTAGCCAATAAGCTCAAAGGACAAATCAAAATGATATGAAATTTAAAAAAAATGTTATATCAGATTATAATATTGGCTTTATATCAGTTAAAATATATTTTTTAGAACTGTAATACTATTTCAAGAGAACTGTCTGCATTGATAATGTTGTGTGATACATGTAATAATTATTATTATTTGAAATTGGTCCTGTATGCTTGAAAATTTTGGTATATATGCATTTATTCAGATTTATATGTTAAGTATTTCAAAGAATTATTTTGTACACATTCTTTCTTGCTCTCTCTCTCTCTTCCTTTGATATTTTTAATTTCTCTTTTATTTTAAATCTATAAACTATATTTCCCATGTTCATTTCTCATCTTCAAATCACTTTTTTCTAAAATCTCCTTACACCTTTTTTTATATACCAGTTCATTCCATTTCTAAACATAAGCATTTTTTCAGGATATCTTTTCAGAAAATAGGTGATGGTGGTTCTTTACAGATTCCTTGTTTTTACTATCATGAATTACCATAACTTCTTGAGAAAGGTAGTGGAGTGGTTTCCCATTGCCTTTTCTATAGATTTAATTCCAGAGCTGTTTTCCTTAACTGGCTGCCACCCAAGGCTACTTTGCTATTTGACACATTGCTGGGAACTATAACCATAGCTTTCTGATTAATCCTATTTTTAAACACATTCTTCTTTTCTTTCTTAAACTCATTCTCTTTTTATTTCTTAAACTCATTCTCTTTTTTTTTCTTAAACCATTCTCTTTTTTCTTTTTTTTATCCCTTATTGTTTTTATTTATTCCCATTTCTCTGAATTATTTTTATTTACTTTTTCTGATACTTACTTATTTTTATCCTCTTATTACTTTTTAATCTCTTTTCCCCTTTCTTTCTTTTTTTTACATTTATTTCTCTATCTCAGTGCTTTCATCTCTTTCTCCATATCCCTTTTCTTATCCTTCCTTTCTTTATCTTTCATTGCCAGCCAACCATTTCTTTCTCTATCACTTTTCTTACTCTGTTTTTCTTCACTTCTCTTTTACTGTCTTTCTTTGTATCTTTTACTTTCTTCCTAACATACTACTTTTACAAAACTCTTTTTTTTTTTTTTACAGAAAACAATTTAATTTTCTATTCAATACAATCTCAACTAATTTAAGGCTCAAAAAGCTAATGGAAAATTTTAAAAGTTTTTTTTTCTACACTTTTCTCTAGTTTTTATCTACATTTTGGCTTCAGGGTTTAACAGAAATGTTATTATTCTGCTAATTGTTCTCACAGTATTTGAATAATTACAGTAAACTTTAATCTTTATATTTACCATACAAATCTCCAACAGGGAGTTGTCTGCTTCATGAAATAGTAAATTTTCCTTTTCATTTTAAACTTTTAATAGTTTTTTTCTTCAATTCATTCAATCTTTTTTCTCTATTTCCTTCTTTCACTTCTTCATCAACTCACAAACACTTATATTATATTTCAATTTTTTAACTTTTTATTTTTTTTATATTGCTTTGTTAATGTTATCCTATTTTAATTTTCTTTCTTAGATATTACATTCTTAATGTTATTGTAGCAGACCCCCGAGCGCCCCCGTATCACACAAGGGTGAATGAGGTCACAAGAGGCCCGCTAACATTTTTGAAGACGTTAAATCTGACGGTGAAACAATATAGACGACAGAACAAGGATATATATGATATATGCTAATTTATTCTAGAAAAGAAAAGGAAATAAAGGTGGTCAGAAACGGTAGAGGTGCAGAAGTTCTAGTGTAGGCATTGATGGTCGAGGTTGGTCGTTACAGGTGATCGCTGTTGGACATGCAGGTGGTCGCTGCAGAGATGATCGCTGTTGGACATGCAGGTGGTCGCTGCAGAGATGATTGCTGTTGGACATGCAGGTGGTCGCTGCAGAGATGATCGCTGTTGGTGGTTGAAGTTGAAGTTGGTTGTTGGCAGGATCATCGCTGTTGGTTGTTGGAGTTGAAGCTGATGTGGGTTGTTGCCAGGATCATCGCGGTTGATTGTTGCAGCTGATGTTGGTGTTGGTTGTTGCCAGGATCATCGCAGTTGATTGTTGCAGTTGATGTTGGTCTCGGTTGGGATGCCAACTTGACGTGTTGGGAAGGAAAGAAGAGCTGGCATTGCGTGTTGTCAGTCGAGTCCGATATTAGTAACCTCCCGTATTAATTACTAACATAGTGTATGGGGAAGGTTAAGGACGACATGCAGGCAGCCAGTAGGGACGGAATGCCGATAGTCGCAGGAGCCAAGAGTAGTATGTGAAGGAGAGAGAGAAAGGAAAGTTTCCAACTATCGTCAAGTTGGCAGACAAAAAAAAATGTGAGCGTAACTTAATACGCAGCCCGTTGATCGATGTCCCTGGCCAACGAAGGCCAGGGGCCTGCGTATCCGACCGTTTCAGTCGCCAACCTCCCCTGGATTTAGTGAGAAGCCACTGTCTTGTGGTAAGGGAGACCAGCAAGTGAATTGGATAAGCTAACAGTAAAGTCTCTATAATAAAATACGTCGAGGTTAGCTAAAGGGAACTATGGCCTAAAAATGTCTAGCAGTATATTACAACTAGGTTTGTAATATAACTTAACTAAAAAGGGAACTTGCTAGTCTCTCCCACAGGTTAACAGTGTATAGGCAGCACAAATGAGAGGTCAAGGTCGAAATGACCTGTTCCTCTGCCGGTTTAAGGATCGAAGGAGGAGGTAACTCCAACATTATAATTACTTTTGCTATCTTTCCTTTTTAATTTTTCTCATATGTTGCATTGTTAATTTAATGATTCCTTTCATTCTTTTCACTTATATAATTAGCTTTCTTAATTTATATTTTTTATTTACTACATGTATTCAATGACTTTTTCATAAGCATTTATTTTATATATTGCAGTTTTAATGCTACCACTTTATTAATATAGAGAATCATTTTCTTTCTTTGTTTATTATACTATTCTCAAACATTTCTCCTTTCTGTATTTCTTTTTTCTTCCATATTTCTTTATTTATTTATTTACCTTTTCTTTATTTTTACTTATTATTTGTTTTCATTTCTTTCCGCATATCTTTCTTACTTCGTTAATTCTTTGTAATACTTTTCCAAATTTCATCCTTTTTTATATTTTTCCATCTCTTTCTTTCTTTTTATTAATTTTCCTTCTTTTTCCTTTTATCCATTTTTATATTTTCCCATCTTTTTCTTTCTTCAAATGACACAGATAAAAACAACTAAGAGTTGGTTACTTATCTGAATAAATCATGGAATAAAGATAATAATATTTTTGTTAATCAAGTTAAGTTTTTTAAGCAAAATCTTTCCTACTGATAATTTTTGTTTTATTCTAGAAAGAATGTTTTTCTTTCTTATTGTTTGTTTTTCCCATATTTTCTCCTTTAATCTCACTTTCACCTTCACTGTTTCCCTCTCTTTTTTTTTTTCATATTCTATTTCTTTTTTTTATCTCCTTCATCTCTTGAAGAGATGTTACAATGAATACAATAGACTATCAGAAATACTGACTCTATTATGCATGAACTATGGCTAAAATGCTATGTGAATTTTTTCAATCATCTTCTTTCCTAAATTTCTTCAATTCACTTTTTCTTCTAAAATATCTCTTGATGGTAAGAATATTTTCTTATTTTGCTTTCATATTCTCTTTCTTTCTCTTTGGCACTCTCCCTTTTTCTTTTCTACTGACTCTCTTTCTATCTCATTCTTGCCTATTTCATTTTCTTTCCTTCTATATCTTTCTCACCTTCTTTTTTTCATCTTTCTCTTAGCTCTTCATCTTTCATCTTTACTATTTATTTTTTATCATTATATCTCTCCTTCATGTCCATCTCCATATCACTTACAGTTTTTTTATTTTATCCTTTTTCCTTCTCTCACTCATGTTGGATTTTACTTTTCATCTTACTTTGCAACTTATTTTTGTTATTCTTCCTGTCTTTCATTTTTTTCTTTCTTTCTTTTCATCTTTGTTATTCTTTCATTTTTTGTTTGTTTGGTTCTTTTTTTTTCCTTGTTATTCTTTCTTTCATTTTTCTTTCTTCCTTTTCATCCTTGTTATTTTTTCTTTCTTTCATTTTTCTTTTTCTTTTTATCCTTGTTATTATTTCTTTCTGTCTTTCATTTTTCTTTCTTTCTTTTTATTCTTGTTATCTTTTTTCTTGTAATTATTTCTTTCATTCTTTCATTTCTTTCTTTCTTTCTTTCTTTCTTTTTGTCTTTTTATCCTTGTTATTCTTTCTTTTTATTCTTGTTATTCTTTCTTTACAGCAAGTTGGCATCTCTGAAGAATTTTTCATTTTAATTTTCAATAGACAACTTCTTACAAGTAACACAAAGGTCTTAAAAAATAATTATTGATAAGAGAGAAGTTGGATTTCTTTAACAGATAAAATTTTACTAAAATCATTTTTTTGCAATATGAGAGTGGAGATTTTCATGCAGTAAAATTATGCACTCCCTATTCACCAAATAGTTTGTTATGTCTTCAAAAGAGTATTTCAGGCTGTTTGTCATTTCATGTGTTTTGCTTGGTCATGTTGAATAAAGCTGTGACATATTATAACACTGCTGTTAAAACATTCAACAGGGATGTTAAGAGAATTTCAGGTGATATTTCAGTTTCTTATTGATATCCAGGCATTGTGCTGATTTTTTCCAGTTATTATAAAAATGATCATTGAAGAAGAAATGATTTAATATATTATAGCTTCTGTGAAACACTTAATATAACATTTTATGAGTGTGCAGTATCATTTCATTCCTGGTAATCTCTTAATTATTCTTACCAATCACTATTAAATGATATGGTATTAATTTAATATCCCTGAGATTTTAAAAAGCTATTTTTACATCACAGCCTTCAAATAACTGATTGTTGCTTTTGTTTGAATTCTCTTCTGATTTTCTAAACTAAAATATCCACTTGCAAATTTTAAAACAAAAATCTCAGTGTCTTCTTTTTCTTCTTCTGTAGTCCTATGACCCAAATGTGGCAATAGGTTCACTACACAGCTGAGCACCTGAGCAGCTATCCTCCATGTATCCCGGTTGTGTGTCTATATCCAAGTCACTGTGAATATTCTCCAGTCCATTTATTGATGTTGTTAGCTCATTTTGCTTGTCTGCTTCTTTTGCCTAAGGTCTTACCTTGTAGGATAGTAGTGGAAAGACTGATAGCTCTTTTCATATGTCCACACAGTTTCATCTTCCTCTTTATGGTGGTGGTTATGAAGCTGTCCAACATTCGTTGTAGCATTAGTTTCTTTTCATAATGATCCCAAATTATCTATAATTCCATACTTTTCTCATTTTCTGTTGATAACAGTGTTAAGTTCAATTTCATTCTCTCTATTTATAAACATACCTAATGCTAAAAGTTTTAATTTTAGGTTTCATGTTGTTGTGGCAATTTTTAATAAGTTTTGTTCATAGATATTCACATTTTTTTTTAAGCGTTTCACCCCAACCAAGGCGGGAAGCCACTCGGATGCAAGGGGTTACAGGAAATAGCAAGATCAGATAGGAGTGATAGAAGGAAGGATGAGGGTAGTGGATAGATTAAGGCGACTGGAGATGTCAATTGACATTATACTTGAATAGCTGGAGATTACAGCTCACAGGGAAACAGGAGAAGGGAAGGGAGTTCCACAGGCGAGAGGTGCGAGACATGAAGCTATTAGAGTAGAAGAGACGGCTACATTTAGGAGTTTTGACAGTGAGGGGGTGAGAGCGGGATGCCAGCCTCGTAGGGCGCTTGAACTCATGAAGTCTGGGAACCTCGGAGCAATTTCCATGAAAGTATTTATAAAACAGACAGAGAGAGGCGACGGCGCGTCTGTGAGAAAGTGACTGTAGACGAGACGCCAGGGCAGGGCCAACCATATTGCATATCCGCCTCTGGAGCCTATGGGCTTTTTATCCTTTTATCAAGATTTTCATGGAGTATGCATTTTACATTGAATACATATATAGACTTTTAACAATGAATATTCCTATACTAACAGATATGTTTTTATAACAATGAATTTTTCTGTACTCCCTTGAGAACAGAACATTTTTTCTTAAATAACTTATAGAACTAATTTAACAATGTATTTGATTATCCATGAGATCAATTTTTCCTTTTTATAAAAGGTGTCCCTCTTATTTTATATTTTGATCTCTGCATGAGTATTAGGAACAAGAGATTAAATGCTAAATGTTGAAGATTTAAAATTGTGTATCAGGATTCGTTAAAGAGTATTTTGAATAATTTTGAATTTGTCAAAAATATTATTATTTAGGTTAAACAGGTGCACATTAGAATATTTAAGTTACATAATTGAAAATTGTTATGAAATAAATTTACTAAAATTCAAATATGACCAATGATTATCATACAAAAGGACCTTCTTTTCAAATGGTTGTTCAAATTTGAATCATTATTTAAGTTTAATATAAAATAAACTGAGAAAATTATAGCCAACTATATTACTGTTGGGTAGATTGGTACAATATGATGGGACAGCTTGGTTTTCTAGCTTAGGTGTAGTGAATATATTGTCATATATCATGAGAAAGATGAAAAACCAAACAGATGTATTAACAATCATAAGAAAATGTATGTGAATAAAAAGTAAAACTTTAGAAATATAATGGCTTCCTGGTGGAATGAGTGGAATCATAAATGTATGTACATTAATGATACATTGTAATAACATGGAAAAAGGAAAAAGAACAATAAGAAAAGAATGGCAAAAAATTTGTTGACGTCTTTCACTAATAAAAATAAGTTAGAACAATATCAAAAGTAAATCTTAGACACAAAAAAGCAAATTATTAATTCAATTCATTGTACTAGACAATTAAATAGTCAAATTCAGAATCATTACTTATATAACATTTTGACAAAGAAATTTCTGTTGTGTTACTGAGACACATTTGACATGTGCCTATATTTGACAAAATGTGCACTCATTGCCCAATTATCACCCAAACCTTGTATTAGAAACAGATTCAATGCTGACGAAACAAAAGATTTCATAATTTGGGGATTTATAAGTGTTATTACTTTTCACTTTCTTATGTTTTTAGTGAATTTCCCACCTTTTTCTTTTCTATTTGAACATTTTTTTGATTTGCCTGAATATTTTTTATCTGAAGTTTTTCTTCTTTTTTTTTTTTTTGCTTTTCCTCTGCCTCAATTGCATGGTGTTTTTTTTCAGTGATGTCATTGAGAACAGCTAATTTTCTTTTTTTTCTTGACTTTTCCTGGATGAACTTGAGGTGGTGCTTTGGTTAAAGGGAGATATTTCCAGGAGAAATCTCATCAGCTGATGAATACTTTTGATGGTAGTCCAAACTCTGCCTCTTTGGCCTTAATAACAGCACTCTATTTGACACAGGTTGACCAAATCACATACTATAATAATAATTGATGATTTAACTGTGAATTTGATACAAAGTTTGAGTCATTGCCATAGAATGTATTGCCCAAAGCATTTAAAATCCTATCTATGTTGTAACTGTTGCTGTATACATTTTCAGTGAAAATGATATTTGCTTCAACAGAAAAAGCTTGATAAAAATGGTGGTTGTTTAAAGTTTAACTGTACAGTTTGTCAGTTAGTTGTTCATAAGAAAGGCTAAAATCTTATGACAATAGTGGCACACTCACTTCATGCAGGTGACAGTAGCTATCCCCATGAATATTCTTGACCTAGCAACCTGTCTCTGCAGGGTGTTTCACCAATCTCTTATAACCTTGCTATCTTACATGCACTTGAAAATTAGTACAACTGCCATTGCTTCTGCCTTATGGAGACAAAACTGTCATTAGACAAAGAGTAACAGAAAGACCATAGTAGTTATGAGGTAGGTGAACTTGACCATTATATAGAGATGTTGTTCCCTTAAACATTTTAATTGGTGCTACTAGCATCTAGCATGATATCATATAAAGCTACTCATAAGCTGGCTGAGAGGTTCTGACTTGTTTCTTACAATGAATGAAGCAAAGTTAATTAAAATTAATTAGAACTGTAAGATTCTATTCATGAACCTTTCAATACGAATCTTGAGGTCACCCATTCTTTACAATTTCTTGTTCATGTGTCTTTTGAATCAAAACCATTTTTTGGTAAGCCAAAGACAATTCTGCCAAATAGTTGCAGCATATGGGAATGGTGGACAGGGAAAAAGAGTAAAACAATACCATTTA